ATAATGCAGAAAAATGCTCAGAGGATAACGATAACTTGCCAAAAATAAAACGCTCTCGGTTAATAGTGCTTTTAGTGATGACAAAGAAAACATTGTTTAATTTATAATAATATGTATCACTTAAGAAAATTTTAATAAAGATATTTACCTTAATTATGAAAATATAGTAGCATGTTTTTTTAATTTTTGGAACCTAACCATCCTTTTCATACTAGTTCTTTGTTTCGCATAACACGGATTCGCATAACACGGCAATTTTTTGGAACATAACTACCGTGTTATACGGGGGTTACCTGTAATTGTATAATTGTTCTGATTGACAATCCTTTGTATAATTATTATTTCATAAAGAACACTCCTCCTCGATCCAGTTTGAATCAGCATTGTGTGTGACAGCACTGGACCAAAGAGAAGACTAATAATTTGTGAGTTCTTCTTCTGTTGATGTGCTACTGTGCTGTATATCATTGTTTGTTTTGGTACTAATTTGCCTGTAAATGAGATTTTCATTCATTGTTTGTAAATAATTTATTTTGTTGTTTTCATAACAAACATGTTTTTTATTGTTTGAGTCTATGTGCTTTGGCAACAAGTTTTTGTTTTAGCATATCAATGCATTCTGTAATGTGTGTGTTGTAATATTCACGTTTTTATGTAAGTTTTGATTTTCTTGAAAATGTTTTTGAATGTTTCTTTAATTTGGGTGTTATGTTGTTTTTAGTTTATTGTGTCAGCCTGCCTAATTGCAGTGTAATGTCATTTGTGTTTCTATTCTTCTTTGCCAGATTTATTATTATTATTGTTGATAAAATTTTTAAAAAATAATAAGTAAATTACAAAAAATAATTAAATTTAGATTAAACTAGAAAATTTACTTACCAAGATTGACATGGATCAGATATTTCAGTATCATTAATATGTTCTCCTTCATAATAAATATTGCCATTTATACTTTTACAAAACTCTTTTACAAAACCACACTCTTCTAATGGAATACATTTTAATTCATTTTGATTATTATAAATTTTTCCAGGTGGACAGGGTATTTGTTCACATCCTTCAGCACAAGGCTCTTCTTGACATAAAGCTTCCTCCATTTCAAGTTTTTCTAAATTCACATTATTCTTTTGGGATTCACAAGTTTGAAGTGGGCAAGATGACACACAAGGTGAATATTGTTCACATTCTTCACACTGAATAGCTTAAAATAATATTAAAATTTTTTAATCTTGTAATATAATTTATATAATTATATTTTTAAAATATTCACAAAATGAATTGAAGAATTAACAAAAGTCTTCATTTTCATTCATGTCAATAATACCCTACTCCTCCGGAACAACTTTTATATAGAGCAAGTCCTAGCCATTCAAGAAGTGCTTCACCTAATAACCCAACACACTTCCTTTCAGTTTAGTAACCAGTGCTATCTGAAAAATGAGGAATACCCATGAGTTCTCTGTTATCAACCAACTTAACAGAGCTCATTATATGTGTTATAGAGAACAAGATCTTTGCAGAACCCCTTATGACTTGTTATCCCATCCTCTACATACATGTGAACAAAACCCTATTAGCCTAGAAGGGTTCTTTCTCATCAGCAATAAGAATCCTTTGTAAAACATTAATAATCTTGTTATTTCTCAATATCCATCATCAAAGGGTTCTTTCATGATGGATATTTTAATAATGGTTGTCAATCAGAACATTATACACAACAATTATTACAACAAATTACAGACACTGTTAACAAGATTCCTGGTCTCAGCACTTTTAACAAAAGAGGATTTGAAAGGGTTTCAAAAAGATGAAAGTGATAGCACTATAGGAATCTTGGCAGAATACAACAAGCTATTAGTAATATTGGGAAAAGTTATAAAGCTGAAAATATCACGTTTGTGAAAATCGGACCATTTTTCAAGAAACTGCTCATTTTTGAAATTTGCGACACCTCAGCCATTTCTTTAGAAACACAACTTTTTCCTTTCCATCAGACCTAACTAAAATTATAGAGGTTGTTAGGCAATGACAGTAATCACTAGCTAGTAATCCATGCTTGAGAGATCAGTGAATCTATAAAATTCCCTTAAAACAGGACTTGGATATTTCCAGATTTTTATACATAGAAGTAACCTCCAGAATAATTGGAAATAGAATAGCTAAACACTAAGATGATATCTAAAATAACAGGCTTTCTACAGAGTTAGCCGAGATGGTCCTACAACATAATTGCAAAGCTCAGCAGACAGAAGCTGAGCTACTCTAGTAGCTGCTTTAAGTTTATACATAATTTAGCTTGTTGTGTTTCACTCCCTATAATTATTGTTAAAAATCTTTAAAACAAATAATAATTTATAAGATGTTAAGATTTATTTAAAATTTAAATTTATGTTTCACTCTCTCTCTGTCTTTAGAAATACAGTAGAGTTTCAAAAACTCGGCCTAATGTGGACCGAAGGGTAGCCAAGTTTGTGAAAATGCCGGGTTATCAGGAATGGGGTTAAAAAAATAAGTATGAGTGTTTCCTCAAAAAATACTGTACTGTACTTGTATTACTGTTGGAGGAGGCACTGAGAGCAAAGTGCTTTGCAGTGGAAGTTTCTGCTTGTTCTTTATTGAATTTTCGTGGAAATTTTTATTTGTTGGTCCTAATGTTATATCTTTTTGGATTCTGTTTTGCATAAGGACTCTGAAAATATCACGTTTGTGAAAATCGGACCCTTTTTCAAGAAACTGCTCATTTTTGAAATTTGCGAATATTTGAATTCAATTATCTGGACATGTGTGGCTGATTAACCGGAGTTTGAAACTGATACTTGACTGCATTGATTACGTGAGTACCATATTAAAAATTTGGGGTTCTGGACTCAATATTAAACGAGATATACAAGACTTCCGGTCTATATTTGGACGGCCATTACGGGCTTTCCGTTTAGAATTTTTAAATAATATTTAGGTATTTCTATCTAGACATCAAATGCTAATTTATCCGAAAATTTTATATATATATCTGCAATAGTTTTCAAATTATCGCAATTCTTAAAATTACAACTTTTTTCAACTTTCTTCTGCAGTGCCATCGCCATCGAACTTTCTAGAACTTTAACCGGAAATACCAATTTTTCTCCGTTTTTTTTTTTTTTTCATAATTCACTATACATTACTTTAATTTTATTGATTTTGATTATGATGTCTCTATCAATTGATATGGAGTCGGATTTGCAAATATTTAAATTCAATGCCAATAGCATTATTGAAGAACTTAAAAAATATTCTGTAGAAAACCTGAACACCAAATTGGGAGTTGCATGCCATCTCACGTATATATTATATCACAATTCACTCGGGTAATTCAACTTGCCGAAACAATTGTTGAGAAAAATTGTATCACTGATTACCTTGACCAAAAATTTTCGGCACTTTTAACAAAAGAGGATTTGAAAGGGTTTCAAAAAGATGAAAGTGATAGCACTATAGGAATCTTGGCGGAATACAACAAGCTATTAGTAATATNCCACTGTACTAATGAAAAGATAGTTCTAGCTGGAGATCTTAATAGTAGAGTAAAAAATAACTACATCTATAACAGCATTTTAGATAGGTTTGGTAAGGAAAAAACCTAACAACAATGGCAAAAGACTGCTTGAGTTTTCTGCTTGTCACTCACTAGTGATTACTAATGCAATATTCGAAAAAATAAATCTGAGAACCTCCAGCAATCTTTAAATAATTTAGAGGAAAGTTGAAAGAATTTCAGTATGTCAATCAGCTATGAGAAAACAAAAGTTATAGCTATTAGTAGAGTGAAAAGGACTTTAACAGTTAAACTAGGGAATAAATGCTTAGAATGTCAATGAGTTCTCATACTTGAGAACAATCTTTAGTGAAGACAGAAAGTTAGATTTGGAAATCCACAATAGATTAAGCAAGGCAGATCAAGCAGAGAGCCAATTGAGAAAATATATCTGGAACAACAAAGAAATAAGTCATAAGACAAAACTAGCTGTGTACAAAACCTATATTGATCTATGGTTCTGAGAGTTGGGTGAGAAATAAGGGAATTTACCAAAAATTAGAAGGAGCAGAAATGAGAGTATTTAGAAAACTTAGTGGTGTTAATAGATGGATACAGTGGCAAAAGCATATTAAAAATGAAGATATAAGAAAAAACCTTAAGATATCAAATATTCAGTTGAGAGTAAGTGAAAATAATCTGAGGTGGTTTGGACATTTGGAAAGAATGGGAGAAGACTTACTAGCCAAACAGGTATTCAAAGCTAAAAGCAAAAAGAGAAAAAACCAAAGGGAATGACTTAGACAAAGGTGGATTGATAGTGTTAAACAAGCTTTAGAGGTAAAGAATTTAACTTTATTCCAGGCTAAAAACTTGTCTGTCGATAGGGGAGTTTGGAAAAAAGTAGTGAATGATAGTATAAAAATTTGATTTTTTCACCATGTTGACCTATACATTCTCTGGGTATCAGCAGGAATGGATGATGGTGATGACATATTTAAAATTTAAAAAGTTGTTCTTGTTCTGTTCTAAACATTTAAAATAAAATGTTTATCAACACATAACTGAACCAGTTACCGGTGTTAGAGAAAAGATGAATAAATATCGTAAACGTTTTCAAACCTTACTAGTTCTTCTTCAGATGATAAAAAGCAACAGAATGCAAAACAAAAAATAGAACATTGATATTTAAACAAAATTCAAACCCACTTGTAGTTTAAAATCATTGGATTGGACATGTGCATACGATGCGGGTAGACGACGATTAAAGGTCTGTGTTGATGAGGGCCTGCCAGGCGACGGACAAATTGAGTTCTTTATAATTTATGCACGTGATGGAGTGGCTAGATTTGTAAATAGAAATAGCCTCCAACCACCTCAGGTGCTCAGGGTGAGGTGAATAGATGATGAGCTTCGCTTGGTTGAAGGCCGCCTTGATGTCAGGATCGGCCGCGTAAGAGCCGTAGAGTGAACACAATGCAGATATTTTACATGGGAGGAACTCTAAGGCTCTTGCAGTTTATGCGGCCAATCCTGACATCAAGGCGGCCTTCAACCAAGTGAGGCTCATCATCTCTTCACCTCACCCTGAGCACCTGAGGTGGTTGGAGGCTATTTCTGTTTACAAATCTAGCCACTCCATCACGTGCATAAATTATAAAGAACTCAATTTGTCCGTCGCCTGGCAGGCCCTCATCAACACGGACCTTTAATCGTCGTCTACCTGCATCGTATGCGCATGTCCAATCCAACGATTTTAAACCACAAGTGGGTTTGAATTTTGTTTAAATATCAATGTTCTATTTTTTGTTCTGCATTCTGTTGCTTTTTATTGTCTGAAAAAGAACTGGTAAGATTTGAAAACATTTACGATATTTATTCATCTTTTCTCCAACACCGGTAACTGGTTCAGGTACGTGTTGATTTCATCCCAGTGTTTTGTGAATGTAGAAGTTTACCAAGTAGCAATGCCAGCTAATAATTACTGTAAAATGCTCATAGCCCTAACTAGGGCCAGAGCTTGATTGCAATTCCTGACAGAATGTAAGAAGAATGGAATACTATCCGTGTCCTTTTACCACATTCGCCTCCCACCGGGTAGCGAACATTTACTTAATAAGGTCCAATTAATGCACCTCAACAGGGCCATCCGTTCTACTAGAAAACAAGTGTTTTCTAAAATAGTGCAGCTCATGGAGATTGAGGATTCATTGTTCCTTCTGGACCTGGAAACATTAACACGGGAGAATGCCAGTCTAGTGTCCTTCAAAGATCGATTAAATGCCAACCTCAGGAGATGGTATACAAAGAAACTACAATGCATATTACACTTCCAGGTGCCCAAATATCACAATCACCCAACATTTCCGTTTGTCGTTTGGGACCTATATTCACCTGATTTTGTAGTAGACGTTCTGAAGTACAGACCGTCTTTCGCACCTCTACCTCTTAAAACTAGATCCTTAAACCTCATTAAAGGCCTGTCCAACAAGCAAAAGGAATATTATCGATGGATGGCCACGCTTAAAATTAAAAAGGCTAAGCAACCCTCTGAACTGGGGGATTTGAGAAACAAATTACAGCGTACAACTAGGTGGATGCAACACAACAACATCACTTTGGTTAGAGCTGATAAATCTAAATTATTGGTCCTTATGAAGCACTCCACATATGAGCAAAGATTAACAGAATATGTTAATCTCACGCAATGTAATATGGTGGATAAAGATATGGTTGACAAACTACAATTCAAGGTCAAGGAATTAGCCTGTTCGAAACTAATTAAACACCTGGAATTGGGTAACATAGTTGTTGATTCCCCCAACACTCCCAGGCTCTTTGCATTTGCCAAGACCCATAAACAAACTTGCTAACTTCGGCCGGTGGTGGATAAAGCTTGAGCACCTAATCACAAACCGCAGAGGGGTGCACACTCATTGATAGCCCCCCTCCTGGAGGGGTACTCGTACAACATCACTGACTCTGTGGATCTCATTTCACTCCTAAAGGATCTTACCTCTCCTACACAATTTATCACTGTATTGGATTTTAAGTCTTTATACTCCTCACTGGAGCTCCCCCAGCATTTTGCACCTTCAGAGAACTTCTCTTCGGAATTGTTGGAGATTGCACCTTGCACCAACAGGTACTGGAGATGGCCCACCTGTTATGTTATAACTCGTTTTTCAAGTTCAATGGAACTGTTTACGCACAAAAAAGAGGGGTCCCTATGGGAAGCCCAGTAGCTGGAGACTTATGTGAGATGGTCATCAGGCAATTAGAGCAGAAGGTCCTCTCACAGTATCTTCCTACTATCATTTTATATAAAAGATACAGTGACGACATCATCATCCTATGGAAAAATATACCAGAAGGGAAGGCATTTGTGGATTCGGTTAATGACAATCCTTATGGCTTAACCGTAGAAATAGAACAGGCTAACAACACGGAGGTCCACTTCTTAGATCTAAACATCAAGATCAAAGGGTTGTCTGTCCACACCTCAGTCTACTGTAAACCAGAGATGGCCTCCCTTTACATTCTGGTTGGATCATGTGACTCATTCCAATACAAGACCACCACATTCAACACATTAATCAGGAGGACGTTTTCTCATTAATCCACTCCAGCCACACTAGCCACCGAATTAGCTCATATTAAACACATAGCAACCATCCACGGGTACCATAAGCTAATCAATGGATTAATTAATCGTCACCACTGCTCTGCATATGTGACTGCCATCCACTCACGTGATGACAACCCTCTGGAGGATAAGACATGGACACCTATAATCCGTACATTGCTTCATTATATTATACAAGGAGATCAGCAACAAATGCCGCATTAACATCACATTCAGAAGATGTCCTACCACCTTGGACATCCTCCGTAACGGGAAGGATCCACCAATCCTAACAGACTCTCAGGCATCTACTCTATACCTCCTAAGGCCCACAGGTGTGACAGGAATCTTGTGTACATTGAATCTTGTGTACATTGGTTCAACCAAATGGTCATTGGGAATCAGAATATGTGAACACAATGCAGACATTCTACGTGGGAGGAACTCTACGGCTCTTGCAGTTTACATGGCTGATCCTGACATCGAGGTGGCCTTCAACAAAGCGAAGCTCATCATCTATTCACCTCACCCTGAGCACCTGAGGTGGTTGGAGGCTATTTCTATTTACAAATCTAGCTGCGTCATCACATGCATAAATTATAAAGAAGAACTCAATTTGTCTGTCACCTGGCAGGCCCTCATCAACACGGACCTTTAATCGTCGTCTACCCTCATCGTATGCGCATGTCCAATCCAACAATTTTAAACCACAAGTAGGTTCAAATTTTGTTTAAATATCGATGTTCTATTTTTTGTTCTGCATTCTGTTGCTTTTTATTGTCTGAAGAAGAACTAGTAAGGTTCGAAAATGTTTAAGATATTTATTCGTCTTTTCTCCAACACCAGTAACTGGTTCAGGTATGTGTTGATTTCATCCCGGTGTTTTGTGAATGTAGAAGTTTATTAAAAAGTTTATGTTATCCTTTCAAATTTGTAACATGCATTATAACACTGAAAGACAGTTACCTTTTTTACTTTTTCTATGTGATTTTAGCATGAAGTACTTTAAGTTCTTGAGACCAAGATATTAAAAAAGAAAATCTAAGAGCAGAAAATAAATATAGTTTTGCAAGACTTGTAAACTTCAATATAACACTGCATAATACAAGTTTCCAAATATAACACAGTTCTATTTATGTAAAATCCAATTTTATTATTTATTTCATCAATTAGTAGTTTATTCTTATTCTGTGTTGCTATAGAAAGAGATCACTGGATCTACTTTAGAAAGGAGTCAACAAGCAAAAATAAACCATTTTTGCTTGGAATACCTATTTTGAATAATAAATATTTTAAATATTTATAATAAAGCAGTATTAAACAAAATACACTGCATCACATTGTATGTTTTACAATGATTTATGCTAAAAACCTGTGTAAAATGAAACTAAATAAAACATGCCAAAACAAAAAACTTTAGAACAAGGAAATTTTCTATGTTAAACTTTACTATAAGACAGAAATCTGTATAATGCAGAGATGGAAGAAGTTTCCAGGTACAGGAGAGGGCGACGAGTCGCGAAACCGTAAGGACGTGAATTCCATGTGCTCTGCTTTCGATCTTCGCATCGACGTTCCAACTCAACAATCGGTGGAGTATAGTATATCGTTGGATACGTCTCATCGAGTTCTACAGATTGACGTCTTATTTTCCGGATCGGTTTAACGGCTCAGAAGGTACGGCCTCCGGAAGATCAAGGAACTCCGGCCGCCATTTCCGGGTAATTTCCGCCGGTAAGTGGACTTATCTTACATCGGTTGAAAGAGGATTCTATGCTGGTTAAAACGACGTCTTTAGTTTTAAGATCCGGCGAGCCGTTTCAGTTTTATTGGGACCGGAATCTGTTTCACTTCGGGCCGTCGTGCGGGCTTTTCGGGCCTTCGGAGCGGTCGATCTTAAGGTGTTCCTTAGTTCGTGTATACAGCTACCTGTGGCGGAATTTTCATCTTGTTACGGCTATTAGTTGTCAAGTTACGTCCATTTTAAGTTTGAACCAAGACAAAGGGTCTAAGGTCATTGGCCTTGCCACGTGCTCATCCTCTAACTGACCCAAATTCGGCGGTGTTTTCGGCTGTCTTTGGGGGTCGTGTTGGGAGCACCGTGTAGTGTGATACATCATTTGACTCACAAAAAATCACTGATTTCTGCTATACCTCCCATTCTATACCCTCTAATCATGGAAGAAGGAACGGAGGACTTAACTGTTTCTAATAATAGTTTCATCGAAGAGGATCTCTTAAACACTATCAACACTCAACTGGAAGTGATTTTTACCAACATTCCGTTGAACTCGAGCGTAACGGTAAAAACTAAGGAAAGGACAGCCGTCAAAGAGGCTGCCGTAAAGATGCATGCGGCNATATATATATATTTTTTAATACTATTATTAAAAATAGTATCAAAGATATTATCCCATAATGAAAATATAAGTCAATATTTCACTTTAATACATTATATCTTGGTTTCAAATAATAAAAAATAAAAAATATAATTTATTAAATTAAATTCTAACCTTTTATAGTAAGGTTCTAAATTCACTTCTTCATGACAATTGCTAAATAATGACGATTTTAAAACAGAACATTTGTTTTTAGCCCAATTATGTCTTTCCGAATGTAAGCTGCATGAATCTATAAGCTGCTTTGGTTTCTGACAATATAAATGCATTTTCCAACTGTTTGCAAAATCTATTACATCAACTGCAGGAATATCTCCAGATGGCTGTTTTAAATCATCAACACTATCGCCATTGAAATCACCACATAAACCTTCCAACTAATAATTAAATAAAATATCAATTTACATATATGTAATATGAAAATAATATATATGAATTCAATAAATACAAGTTACTCATAAGTCTGTGAAACATTTTAAAAATTTATTATTCATAAACTACACAACAGATACTATACTCCAAGAAATTTTTTTCTTTCAAATTAAAGATTCAAATGATTCTTTTTTTTTACCAGCAAAAAATTCTTTAATAAGCTATATTACCTCCTTTTTTTGCTGGTAAAAAAAGTTGTTTGAATTTTTAATTTTAACTTTTTTTTTTTTAAGAAAGTTTTTAACTTCTCAAAAGTCAGTATTGAAAGAGAAGAATTTCCCAGGGTATTTTACACTACAAACAATTTTTAAGATAAAACAACCAACTCCAATTTTTTTAATTCTTTTAAAATACTATACTTCTTAAGACTAAAAATAAAGGTAAACTCTCCAAGTATTTTTACAGAGTCACAAATGTTTAATGTGTCCACCTTTGCTGATTCAGCAGACAGCTAGCTGATACTTCATGTGTATCAGCATATTATAGTCAACAGTTTATGCTTTAGTTTCTTGTGGAGAATTCACCACAGTGTTGATTTTAAGATGCCAACTTTTAAAGTTGCAAATATTGTGGACTTATGGAGGCTATGCTCATAGGCTTGTCAAACTTTCAAACATGATCCACAATTTGTTCAGTTGGCTCTGGATGTTCAGGATAAAGAGTTGTGAACAGACATCCTTCATCCCAAAATTTTGCATATTATTTCAGGATAGTGTTGTATAAAGGTGGCACCTTCTGGAATTCTCCTAAACATCACTGTATAGTCACAACCAGGGCTGTGGAGTCGCATAAAAATCTACTGACTCCAACTCCAACTCTGACTTTTCCTTACCATCCAACTCCGACTCCGACCAGGAGCGGATTTGTTACCGAAAGAGACTCGGAAATTCTGATGTCATCACATGACCTCAGAATAAAAGATTCAATACATAGAGTTCTAATAAAGATAGAGCGTAGAAACTTTTTATTCCAAAGCTAAAAGACTTCTCTAAGTAATATATAAATACAGTATGTATTCGATAATTTTTACTTTTCCGGCTGTTGTATATAACAGAGAAAAAGTGTAGCGCTCACTCAAAAAATGACCTCTCCCAAATTTTTACATTTTTGGACTCAGGACACCGTAAAATTTCAAGATATGCAAAAGATTTGAGGTTTTTTCTATATGTGTGGATGTTAGACTGTGTGGGGGGAGCATGATTTTGTTCATTCTATTTGAAGCCTAATAATTTCTGTGGTCAGAGTGGTCAGAATCGGAATCAGACGGTTTAACACAGAAGTTAGTTATTAAGTGTTAAAGTGGTTGAACTAAATCATGTCCCCATATACATTCTAACATCTTAGGCGAGAACATATTAATGGGTTTTACTGTACTATTATAAAATGGCAAAAAAGCTTACTTTGAGGGTAGAGATGAGTTTTATTATATTTTTTTTAAATTTTGAATGCTAATAACAAGTAAAATATTCATTAAGAGATATGACACATGACCACTTTTATGTCTTCACCCTGTCGACCTTTCATTAAGAACCAAAATTTAATGTGTAGATTTGCAAAAAAAAGAACTTGAGGGTCAAATTTGACACAATTCTAATACTTTTCTGTTTTATATACATAACAAGTTGATAAGTAAAAAGGAGTCGGAGTTGGCGGATTTTTTGACAACTCCAACTCCGGCTAAAACACCAAAACTTCACGACTCCGACTCCGACTCCACAGCCCTGGTTAACAACAAAGTTCTTGCTTATTACAATACATATTGATTTTCACATTTGCTAAACACCATATTTGTTACTGCTGCCTCCTAGCAACAAATCATAACAACTATGTGCATATAGTATTCATGAAAAACTTGGAGCATTTACTTCATTTCAATATTAAAAAATATATTATCTGTTATGTAGTTTATAAATATTAAATTTTTTAAATGCTTCACAAACTTATAAACCTATGTACTTATTTTTATATATTTAAGTTTCAATCAGATCAAAAACAAAAATTTTAATTCAATACATAAAAACAAAGTCCACCAAAGATTAACAATTCATTAACAATTTGGCAATAACTATTTTATATAATTTATTAATTTGGCATTCAGCCAAATTAATAAATTATATAAAATAAAAATAAATTATAAATTATACAAACAAAATAAATTATAACTTTCTTTTAGAATCCAATCTTAACTTTAATTGATAAGTAACACAGTGTTTCTGCTTTTTTGGAGCACAAACAGTCAATAAGCTATAAAATTAGTTTAAATTTACTATTACTACCATCATTGATTTTATAAGTCAAAAGTTTCTCTCTTTATTTTTATTATAATCAGTTTCTGTACATTTTTATACTGTATTCTGATGACAAGGCATTTTTCTTTTCAAAAGCACTAAATAAACAAAACATTTAGACTTCTAAAAGAAGTATATAGTCTATTTTCTGTTGTTATAGGAATCATATGAATAGCAACTTAAAAAATTTATAACTACATTTAAATATGATAAGCTGTGAGTAAAAAGAAATTTTTAAAACCATTATTGGGCTGCAATTCAAAAAAATTGTAGACCTATAAATTCCAACTGTAATCCATCAGTCTTTCCTTAATCTCAAGAACAGAGTTAGATAGATGAAAGACAAGACCAGATATGGAAACTTTAGGAATAGGAGACCCCAATTAACTATATATGAACTTCTGACACAAATTGGAAGTCATGTTATTTCAATTCAAAAATTTTCCCTGAAAGGTGTTAGAATTTATCTAACACCTTTCAGGGGAAATGACTGGCACAACTCTATTGTTAAAAAAAAGTATGATGTACAGGGGCAAGCCACTACTAATTTGAAGTGGAAAGCATATATCTTTAATTAATTCGTTTAATTTAAAAATTGCAGCCAGGCATTGGCTCCAAATAATTGCTCATTACTACTTTATATTTTTATACAGCTTTTCTTTTGACAACAGAAAACAAAGAATTTAAAGAATATACAGTATATACAGTAATACCTCGACTTACGCTACCCCGACTTATGCAAATCTGGAGTTACGCGATTTTCATATCTCGTCGATTCGTCTTTTGTTTGAGTATCACTCAACTCTTGATTACTCACCCCCCACACTATTGTTTGGCTTACATGTTTGGATGTGTCGCACAGAATTGACATATAGCTACAATTTATTTTGTGTTATTTATTTCTGTGTTTGTTATATCTACGGAAACTTGGGAGACTCTACTATGTCATCTAAACGAAGTAGAACTGATTCTTCTGCATCAAACAAGAAAAGAAAAACTTTATCTTTGGAATGTAAAGTTAACATTATTAAAGACTTTGATACAAAAATGAAAATTTGTGAATTGGCAAATAAGTTTGATCTACTGGAATTGACAGTCAGAACAATTATAAAAGGTAAATAAAAAATTCTCGAAGCTGTGAAAAATGCTCAATCTTTAAATTCAAGCATCATTCGTAAACATTATGGTATTATCACTGAGATGGAAACAATGTTAAAATTATGGTGTGATAATCAAGTAAATGTGAAAAATTGTATAATAACAAAATTTGTTATACATATGTATTATCTAAGGTTTTATTAATTAAACATTTTTTTCTAAATTATTGTTTTCTTTAGTCTCCGGCCCCAATTAAAAATTATTTGTATGTATTTATATGCAAAATTATACCCCGACTTACGCGAATTCGACTTATGTGGTTATCGCTCTGTCCTACCTATCGCGTAAGTTCTGGGTATTACTGTATATCAATGTATATATTCTTTAAATTCTTTATTAAAGATTTAAAGATTATATATATATATATTTCTTTTACATAATATTAATTCTTCCATTTATTATTATTCTTATTAATTAATTCTTAATAATAATTAAATATTATTGTTTTAATATAAAACTTATTGCTACATATATATACACATATGATTAATAGTAGTTAATTTCATACTTTGTTCATCCAAATTGGTTCAGCACGAATATATATTCTTGTTCCTTTATCCCATTGTATAGATATACCAATATCAGTTGTAACATGAAGGAACATTCCTACTTCTTTTACTTGAAATTGTGAATTTAAATGTTTATATAGTAATGGAGTATTCTTAAACAACATCAAATGTTCACCACCTAATATATATAATACATATTAATTATTATAAAGTTAATTAACAAAAAAGATTGTAACTTAATTATGATATATGCAACAAATCCTTCTAACATTAATGATTCTGTATTGTACCATTTTCAATTTATATTTGCAAAGAAAAAAACTGTTTTGACATAAATATTATTCTTTTAATCTTTAACTTCTGTTGAGATATGTAGATAATTCATAATGATGTCAAATTTAATTGCAATTATATTAATGTAATTTGATAAAAGTCTTTTATAACACCAAATTTTGTAAAAGCATGTTGTACTATGCCATGCTACCTATACATTACGGACACAATCATTCAATAGTAAAAAGAACAGTAAAAAGATATTTATTGTTTCCACCAGAGCATACTAATTACAACTGCATAAATCACATATTTTTCTATAAACTTTATAATAAATTTTAATGAAACATTTTTCCATTAATAATAATGACATAGTTTCAGATTATTAAACAAATTATGAAACATTTTTCTTCAAGTGAAAGGTGTCTAGTTGTTGCATTCATTTTTATAAATTAGTAGTAAAATAAAATTGTAAAGTGATTAACTTTCATAAATTTCTATAAATTTAAAAGTAAAATGTCAATGAAATCATATCAAAAAAAAGGTGGTGGGTGTGTGGGTGTGTGTTGTTTATTTTCTATCTTCCTGATGATGATGTTAATTGTCTATCAGCATTCTGTTTTGATGAATGATGTTTCATACCCAAAGAATGGGTATGAAATGGATCATTCATCAAAAAAGAATGCTGTCCCAATTAGTTTTCCAAATTTTCCATCATATATGCAAAAATCAACCAAAAAAATAAAAAATAAATCAATTAAATAAGAATCTCAACACTTCTAAACTTATAATCTTACATGAATTGATAAACTTATGAATTGATCATAGTATTGTTTACAGATCTACCACTCCTCTAATAAACATTTCCAACCTAATGTTTGTTAAAATAATGTTTTAAATTTCATATAAGATTTTTCATTTAGATAAAAACAATCAATAATATCTGACCCTAACATCTCAATCAAGGAAATTGAAAGTTTTTCTCGACAAGATTCAATTTGTTACTGTTAAAATGAAGTTTGTTTCATTGATAGATCCAGAAAGTTCTTATAGATATATGACTTAATTATATTACATTAACACAAAGATCCACAAAAAAACACCAAAAGGTTATTATGTTCAAAGTAATCAGTAAATCATATTGAGAGAGTATTGCAATCTTCATATAGAATCAATTTTATTTTTATTATAGCCAATTCATGTTAACACAAATCAACTAGAGAAATAGTAAGTTGTTTGCTTTATTGAAAATTCATATTAACAATTTTCAGGGTCAAGGTCAAAGCTGCATGATTTAGAGTTAAGGCTTAATAAGTGATTGAAATCTTTAAATTATAATATTTTGAATTAATTTACTGAATAAAGTTAAAAATAATTCTATGCACGGAAAGCTAGAACTTCTGTAAATAAGTAACATAACACTTTTTCTAGCAATTTCTTTAATCAAACTAATATTTTTGGCTTTATTTAATAGCCTTCCTTCCTTAGGTTCAACAATATTGGAACTTCAGATATTCGAAAATTTTCAAATATGCACATTTCGATCCACTTGGATTCATTTTCTCAAATTTGAATGGAGTTTTGCCTTTTGGATTCCTACAACCATTTTTGTTTTTGAAATTTTTCTTCTTTTCGGCATACATGGCATTGAGTACTGCATTGATCTTTTTGCTTTTTGTGATTTGTGCTCTTCGAGGATCTTCACCTTAAGGACATCTGGATTTGGCAGATTGTCATGTGATTCGATTGCACAATGAAAGTTTTCATAGGATGGCAGAAAGCGATATAATAACATTATAGTGAAGATCATCATTGATATTAACATTTAGATCTTAAAGCTTATCAACAGTATCAAAGAATTTGTTGAGGTGGTCTCTGGTGGCCTCAGGCTCATCCATCTTATGCAGTATGAGCTGTTTCAGGAGTGTGGCCTTGCACACAGGATCTTTAGATTGGTAAAAGAATTCCAATTTGTTCCAAATTTCCAAAGCAGTCTTACATCCCTTGACTTGTTTTAGTTCACTGGAACTGATCGTGAGAATTAAGTGAGCTTGGGCCTTGGAATCATCTTTGTCCTATGTGGCTGCTTTTTCCTCATCATCAATGAGTAGGTCCCATTCATGTATTTCCATGTTTCATTTTTAACTAAGATAGCTTTTGCTTGGATTTTCCACGTGTCATATTATCCTTCTTTAAAGGTTCAATTTTGATTGTGGTCATTATTAAATATTGTTAGTGATAAGAAAATCGTTGTATCATTTCGAATTCAGTGGGTTACAGTATCTGTGTACCAATAATTTCCCACCAAAAATGAGTTCCATTTAAATCCATTGCTGTGTTTTTGTTCACTAGCTTGACCAGAAGTTGACTTCTCAATACTTGGTTGTAACTATTGGCATGGAATTTTATAAAAAAGGATTCATACCTTTGCTCTCTGTTGGTTTTCCAAGTTTTGTAGCGATTAGATTTGTGGAGCATGAGAAATAGTCCAAAAAAAAAAATCACTACATTCTGCAGATTTATTAATCACGCTTCTTCCTTGGGAATTTTCTTTTATTTCTGTTCAGAAGGCTCGTCCTGGGCCATAACCTGTTGTAATAAATGCAGGGTATGCCAGCAGAGTAAAGTAAAAAGGGAACTGCTTGGTTTGAACAGAGAGTTTAATCTAAACTGTATAGAGTACACATACCAAAAATGACAGAAGATAAGGTAAAAGTACAAGTATCTTCTTATATAAACAAAGGTCTAGACCAGGGGTGGCCAACAGTTTTTGCCCCTGGGCTGAATTGGAAAGAAAACTTTTTCCACAGGCCGAACCAGAGGCTGCCCTAGGAAGATTTTGAGGTGGTGTGAGATCTCATTGTGGTGTCACCTCATAGAGACTAAATTGTAGATAGTGATTACAGATACATTTTTCACATTATCATGCTTTACCAACATTCTATGCTGTACTTAAGATTTGTTATGGAGGGTTAACTCTAAACGCACAGTGAGTTGTTGACCTTTTTATTTTTTTTTTTAGCTGTCAGAATTTTTCATCGAGCTATTTGGACTTGAGTACCTAATATTGAAAGATTGATCACAGGCCACATAAATTCATTAGATGGGCTGGATCTGGCCCGCGGGATGTATGTTGGCCATGCCTGGTCTAGACGTCATCTGAAATGTCCCTAGGAGAGTGTCATGATACTCTCACCAACACTGTTTTTATATACATAATAAATATCTAAATACAAANGTTTTGCATGTTTTGAGTGTTTTGCAATTTCTCAAATTATTAGATGATTGTTTTTAACTAAAATATGAATTTAATTTTTATCAATCCTATTTATGGTTCATTATTTACATCAGAATTGTTTTGATGAAATTTTTAAACTATTTAGTAAAGTTCTCTGATTTCAATTTGTAACAATTACAATCACCTATATGTGATAGATTCAGTCATAGTACAACTTTCTCATGTATTTGATAGTGAGTAATATGGTATTCAAGCATTCAGTAGAACACATTAGATTCAACAACATACTCAGTTTTGTTATTAAAAATATTGATAATTTTCAAGTTATTACTATTTATTAATATTAATAATTCTTTAATTAATAGTTTCTGTAATTACACAATGATGTTCATTGTACAGTTATGAAAGTTATTTAAAACTAAAATTTTAAAAATGTAACAACTTCTACTTGACAACTGGTTAATTAAATTTAGAAATTAATAAACACTGCAATAACCTAAAAAACCAGCATTATTGTTGCTGGTTTTTTAGGTTATTGCAGTGTTTATTAATTTCTAAATTTAATAAACCAATTGTCAAGTAGAAGTTGTTACATTTTTAAAATTTTAGTTTTAAATAAATTTCATAACTGTACAATGAACATCATTGTATAATTACAGAAAGTTTTAATTAAAGAATTATTAATATTAATAAATAGTAATAACTTGAAAATTATCAATATTTTTAATAACAAAACTGAGTATGTTGTTGAATCTAATGTGTTCTACTGAATGCTTGAATACCATATTACTCACTATCAAATACATGAGAAAGTTGTACTATGACTGAATCTATCACATATAGGTGATTGTAATTGTTGCAAATTGAAATCAGAGAACTTTACTAAATAGTTTAAAAATTTCATGAAAACAATTCTGATGTAAATAATGAACCATAAATAGGATTGATAAAAATTAAATTCATATTTTAGTTAAAAACAATCATCTAATAATTTGAGAAATTGCAAAACACTAAGTACATTAAAAGTATAGATGACAAACTATTTAAAGGCCATGAGATTTGTGAATAAGTATGTTGTAGAATTACTATACTTGCTGTCAAATTGAAATTTATTTATATTAGATGAAAATATATATTTCATTTCCTGGGTACAGTGAAAAATGTAAGTTTTTTTAGACTGCTTAATAACTAGAACAAAAAACTTTGCAATAATATCCAGTGAAAATATTCATGAATACAATATCACGTATTATCTTCATCAATGATATAAGCTAACATTTACACAAAAAAAGGAAAAAACAATGTTAATGTTGATAGTTCTGTGTGTTTGATGAGATTATAATGTAAAGGAGTCAATGTCCGATTGTTATTTTATGTTTTGGGGCGTTATTTTTATTTAATTATTTTCTTTTCGGGGTTCTTTTTTTGTTAAGGACAAACTCCTAAGCACCAGTGACCATGAAAGAAAAAGCAAACTTAGTTTGCATCGGTGCCTGATCCTGGAACGACATCTTATGTAAATTAAGACAGTGCGGAGCTGCATTTGAGGTACAATAAAAAGCAGCACATCCACGACGGAGAAGGGAGCTTCAGGTGACCACTGTGGGAGCGACAGCAGTGATAAACTAGAGGAGATAGTATCTTTTGCTGTAAAATCATAATTTTTGAGGTGGAGATAAAATTTTTTTGTTGATTAGAAATACGTACAAGTTTCTTTGATTATTGATTTTGTTACTACTTTACAATTAGTTAACTTTTTGTTCGGGTCAATTAACCCATTATTGTGTTTTTTTGTCAATAGAATTAAACTTTATATTTATTGTTAATTATTGTCTGTGGTGGTGGAAATTATTGTTTCTTTTATTTGGAAAGTCCAGGCCTGGTACTTGAACCCTACTATTGTGTAACCCCTTTTTGTTTTCGTAAACGGTGCATTACAATAATGGCATACCTTGTTATGAGCCTGTTTGATTCAATTTCATTCAATAAATTCACCATTACAATGACATACTATGTTCAATTAGACAATTTGCATTTGGCAATTACTAATAAATATTTACTATTAATGAATGGAAAGAAATGCAATTTCTAATCAAGGTAATACACATTCATGTGATACAATGAAAGTTTAGTTAGAAAAATTAACGTATTCAATTTAAAAATTCTGCTTTTTGTATTCTTTACATCTTGTTCCTTCTAATTATCACTTCCTGTTCCTTACAGAATTAGCTTCTTGATAACAAGCACTGAGTTCAGTGTTAACATGATTTTCTTATATTGCAAGTACTTTCGACGAGTATTATATCGTCGTCCTCAGGCAAAAAATAATAAATTTGAAAAAATAGAATGTGCAGAGTGTTCCAAGTAGACAAGAAAAATTTTNTTAGCTCTATCAGAAATAAATTTTTTTTATTTTTGAATAGTATATATTAAATTATTGAGTATCATTATCTTTGTTCTTTTATAACTTATTTCATTTTGTTAATCTATTTAATTACTTGGCTTATCAGCCAAGTAATTGAAAAATGTTATCTGTAATAAAATTAACACTCACAAAACCTTAACAGTCCAGTACTAAATATTTAACAGAAAACAAACATTTTCGACCATACTTTCAGTCTTCTTCAAGTTTAAAAAAAACCAGTGAGATTCGAACAAGTGATTTCAAAGAACAATAATTATGAAATTGTTTTCAAAGAACCTGGAACAGCACAAGCAGGTTTTTAAAGCCATGGAATTTTTGCATAACTGTTTACACACAAGCTTAGAATGCTCCATGGCTTTAAAAACCTGCTTGTGCTGTTCCAGGTTCTTTGAAAACAATTTCATAATTATTGTTCTTTGAATTCACTTGTTCAAATCTCACTGGTTTTTTTTAAACTTGAAGAAGACTGAAAGTATGGTCGAAAATGTTTGTTTTCTGTTAAATATTTAGTACTGGACTGTTAAGGTTTTTTGAGTGTTTTTTTATTTTATTACAGATAACATTTTTCAATTACTTGGCTGATAAGCCAAGTAATTAAATAGATTAACAAAAAGAAATAAGTTATAAAAGAACAAAGATAATGATACTCAATAATTTAATATATACTATTCAAAAATAAAAAAAATTTATTTCTGACAGAGCTAAATCTTGATAGAAAAATCAAAATAAATTTCAATTTTAAATGAAATTCTAAAATATTATTCAAGGTAAAATTTAATATTTTTGATACATGGGGATCTTTAGTAGAATTGCACAAAAACTTTTTCTCTGGTTTTATTTAACCATTCCTGTACAATGATTTTGAAGTTAGGAAATCTTTTCAAAATGCTAGCAAAAATAAATTTTCATACAGATATGAAGCCAAGTTAGTATTATTTTTACTTAAAAAGAATTAAAAGAAGTTGAAATGCATATTTTGTTATATGGAGATTAATAGGATAGTTTAACTATTTTATCAAAGAATAGTTATGATAAATGTTGAACTTGGATGTATTACTATCATTCAGAAATAAAAAAAGAAGTCTAAGCAATAGAAGTGTAAAATTTTTCACTTTCTAAAAAATTTAATCTCGATTGTTTCAGTATTTCCAATAAAACATTTTGAAGTAAAAAAGTTAATGATCAATGGTATAAAAAATAAGTCAGATCCTCTCCTGCAATTCAATAAGCAAGCCATCTATAATTATTAGAGTTTTGTAACATTTCATACAATAAAATAAAAACTTTAAATAGATTGCTTTTGGAAAACACAAAATTTGCTACATCAATAATTTTTGCTATTAATCAATAATTTATATTATTGGTCTACACTTGAATTATTATTCCTCGAACAATGCAATCACGCTAAATAAAATATTAAATAAAAATAACTTTTTAAATTTGATCTTACCAATTACAAATGTTATACTTTTGCTACAGGAAATGCCTCCAGTACCACATATTTCATTTTGTATTATGACAGAAAAAGACTTTTCATCATTTATTTTTCCTTTTACTAAAATATAATCACAAGTCCCTTGGAAATCATAAATGTGGCCATCAAATGTAATAAAATGAGAATTTCCCCAAGTTGAACAGACTCCAGGACATGCAGTATTGTCACATATCCATCGTCCTGATGTGCAAACACTATAAATATTTCAAAAAGTAATTTAAGTAAAAGTAATATTTAATATCATTGTATCAACTAACTTAAATAAAACAAAACCTTTAAATCATATTGTTTCAAAACTTAATACAGTAGAGCGTCGTTTATCCGAATCAATTGGGGACTGAGGTTGTTCGGATAACTTATTTTTCGGATAACCAATTATGTACGAAAAAATACATTCTCTCCAGCGTTGAAATTTTTCTCCGTTAAGTGTCGCTTCGCGGTGAATTTTCATCGATATTAAGCCTAACGTATACTTTTTAAAATAATAATCGTGGCTATTGTATCGTTAAAAATTATTTCTTTATTTCTTACAAACAAAATAAATATATTGAAAAATATAAAAACCAAAAAATATATACTTTAGAAGATGATCTAGTATCAAAAACGTTCAATTCAGCATGACACACAATCCTCAGAAAAACACCACACAAAAGTGCCAGTGCTGCCAGCTAAAACACACACACCAACAAAAAAAAATATTGGAGTAGCCCAAGATATAGCCAAAGATTGCAGCACCACAGCACTAGCGAAAATTTAAATTTGCTGACTGGAATGCTTTCGGATAACCGACTTTCGGATAAACGACGCTCTACTGTATTTCTAAATAATTTACAAAAATTAGTAAAGGTATACACCATAATCATTAAAAATAAAATTTAAAAATTTAAATTGGGTGTTAAAACACAAAAACGTGAAAACCAGATTTAAATATTCTTCAAGTACTTTCATTCCTTTCATTTGCATCAGTGTAAACTTCTTTAGTAATACAGATAATAAAACAAAGCTTTTTAAAAAGCTTTTCAATAAACATTCTTTTTACAAAATGGATCACAATAACAGAAAATTAGTTAATAGATGACTAAGTGACAAATTATTACATAAATATAACTAAAAAAGATAAAAATACTAGGACATTCAATAAGTAATGCACATAGGTCTTTTTCTTACTCAAGGTTTATTTCTTTTACAAATCCAAATATACTACATTATTCACCAATTAATTGGCTACAAATTGTATTTGTAGCCAATTAATTGGGGCGGTAGCCTTATTCCTGGCCAATTAATTGGGGCCATTTTTTTTTTGGTTTAATTGATTTAATTGGGGTATTTGTAGCCAATTAATTGTGGAAAGGTAGCCTTATTCCACATAGTCTCCATTTAAATCTATGGCCTTACACCATCTAGATGCCAGAGCCTATATGCCAGTTTGATACCACTCAGCTAGTCTCTCTCTCAACTACTTCTTGACATGTGGAATAACCTAAGCAGTGGATAATTGTGTTGGCACTACCCACAGAGATGCTTAGTTGAGTGGCAAGTCGTTTAGTTGTTACTCGCCTGTCGTCTTGAATAAGCCTATTGGCGCATTGAACTGTCTCCAAGTCACAGCAGCATGTGGCTATCCCAAGCGTGGAAGATCTGACAGTCTCGCTTTACCTTGTTCTGTCATTGACACTCTGCTAACCCAATGACTGACAGTACTCCTATCCACTGCTTCATCCCCATAGAAATGTTGTAACCGTCTGTGAATGTTTGAGATGGTCTTGTACTCTGCAAAAAGAAATTCAATCACAGCTCTCTGCTTTGTATGTGTCTCAAGTGCAGCTGCCATTTTAAAACTAAACAATACTACAATCACCTAACAGAATTAAAGGTAACTTCATGCCATTATACAACAATTGTAAAAATACGTTATGCAAAGGTTCGTTCAATTCCAATGAAAGGTAGCCAAGAAATAAAATTATGTGCATTACTTAGTGAATGGCCCTTGTAAATAACAACACAAATGATAAAAATGAGTTATAAATTGCTGCATATGTAAACAGTGTAGATAATAATTGTAAAAATATGTAGATGGAAGTTATGAGTTGGCAATTATTTAAAATTAGATTATCATTCAAATAATGATAAATACCTCTGATATATTTTGTTAATACTAGTCTGAATCATCTTAACAAATTGCATACACTTAGATGTCACATGGATACTTATATATTTTTTAATATAGAGAGTGCTGTTTTTATTAGAAAATAATTTTATGTTTATTTTTATATAATTTTGTTACTTAGTTGTATTATTAGAAACAAAAGTATTTAAGCTAGAAACTGAAGCTGTACAATTAGATTTTCAGACTACTACATCTCTTCAGTTTCCAGCAAAACATGTAAAGTGTAGCAACTCACAAACATTTTTGGAATCCACTTATTCCAGATTCAGGTTTACAGAGTTTGTTTCAAATTGAAATGCATTAAATAGAACACATATGTAGAATTAAAATTTGAACAGACCAGCCATACTATGTCACCTAGATTATAACAATGTTTTATACCATGCCCACAATGCGTTGAATAACTGTATCTCATCCCTAGAGTTAATATAACTGAATGCTTTATATCATAATTGTGTTCATATATCTTCAGTTCTAATGACGTTTTGGTGGCACTAGATCCTTCCCCAGTGTATAGTGTTCCATTAGGAGATGAGAGGTTCAGGAGAGATCTTGTCTGTGTGAGTGGTATCCACACAGACAAGAACATTAGAACAGAGGCTATATAAACACAGTTATGATAGCTGATATAAACATAGTTATGATACAAAACATTCTAAAATGACCATCACTTTGTCAAGATTTGCTTCATAAGATCATATAGAGGCTAAATTAAATCAGGACCAGCACATCAGATCCTCTACAAATCAAGCTCCACATCAAGCTCTTAGTCTATTGAAATATTTAAAGCCAGCCAAAACTCCAATTGTATCAACTCTAGGGATGAGATACAGCTATTCAAAGCATGGTGGATGTGGTATATAACCTGGGTAACATAGTATGGCTCAGTGCATGTCTTATACTGGCATGTTAAAATTTGAATTCTATATATGTGTTCTATTTGATGAATTCCAATTCAAATGAACTCTGTAAACCTGAAACTGAAATCAGGTGGATTCTAAAAACAATTGTGAATTGCTACATTTTCTATGTTTTGCTGGAAGCTGAAAAAGTTTAGTGATCTGGAGATATTACATGTTTCCAGTGCTAATGAAGTACATTTTATTATGTTTGTTGCTCACATAATAGTCATGTTACCATGTGTCTTCCTCACACGGGTAGTCTTTAGTAAAAAAACATGTGAGATTTCACAGTTGTTGCATTTTATAAGTTTCAACATTAGTGTTTTGATTTCATTGACTTTGTACATGTTTACCTCATTAGTTTTGGTATAGATATGGAATATTGGATAGATATTGGAATGTATAAATATGTTCTGGTTGTTTTTACATGTTTTGATTTTACATATATTTTACATGTTGAATTGGGTCTCAGTTTTGATATCTGTTCATAATATTATTTTGAAAATATTAGCTTTGATGAGTTTAAAGACTATTTCAAATTATGAATAGATTTTTTGGCTTGTACAGATGAAGGATTCTGAAACTGTAGAATATTCTATTGAATTCATTGTAAAAAGGAAAAATGGGCAAATTTAGAAATGATTATAAAAATTATAATCCTGCTTAATTTCATATGGCATAGGTTTGCAAAAATTAAATTATAGTTGAATTATAAATTCAGCACAAACCTAATTTCTGGAAAAACTTGCTATTGATTTTAAATATATTAAGTTTAATATACAAGGTCTGTTCAAAAAGTATCGGACCATTTTTTTTTCCGCGTAAACCAATGATGCGCGAGAGGCCTCCTTCGGTGGAGTTGTGGAGGGGACAGTCATGCACAGCCCTGAATTTTTTCCCGCCTGCAGAAAGCGTCAGTCGTTGGCAATCGGCCTATGAGTGAGGTCATGTAGTGCGCTCTCGTCGGATTNCACTGTCTCTCCCACAGTCTATAATAGAAAATATCCCAACACGTGATAGAAATTACATAAATCAAAAAATATTAACATCTGCTATAAAATTTAAATATATAAAAATTAGAAGACTAAAACGTGATCTACAAAAATACAACAAAAGGAAAAAGAACGTTAATTTCGAAGATAAAGGAGATAAAACAAAAAACCCACAAGGAAACAATGTCGATAAATATAAACTGAACAAACATAAAAAACTGGTAAAAAAATTTAACTACCCTTCTATAGAAGAGATATCGGAATGGAAAAGATCTTTAGTGTTGAATAAAACACAAATTGATATACCTAATGATATCCTAGAGACAATGCAAAAAGGTTTGGACTTTAATGGACCAAACGATTGGGAAGTAATAGACATAGTGCCAAATTTAGATCGTATATGCAATGAGCTAACAGAGGTGGATTGTAGAATTCTAAAAATTAACTTAAGTAATATAATTAAAAGTTATACTAAGAAAGAAAAAGGAAAAATGAAGATCAAGGATAAAAATTATTATAAATATAAAAATGATATAGAAAAATTGTATACCTTTCTAAAGGAGAATAAGTTAAATATTATAAGAGCAGATAAATCGAAACAAGTTATTGTTGTGACTCTAGATTGGATAATGTTAAAAAAACTTGAAATAGTAAAAAGTAATAAATTTAGAGAACTACCGATTAACCCTAAAGATGTAATATATGACGAATTAAAAAATAGAATTACAAAGTTACAAAAACTTAAAAAAATTACCAAAAATGAAAAGAATTTTATTCTGTATGAGGATAACGACAGAACACCAAGATTAAATATACAGCTTAAAACCCATAAGAAAGATGAAAATGTGAGACCAATAGTAGACTTTAAATTCACTGTATTATATAACTTAGAAAAATTCTTGAAACAAAAGCTCAAAGTTTACAAAAACTCGAAATATTCTATCAAAAACACAGATGACTTTCTTGACAATCTTAAAAGTGTTAAAATATAAAATACATATAAAATAGCCAGTCTAGATGTGATAGATATGTACCCATCAATAAAATCGGAACTGATAGAGAATCAACTTAAGAAAATAGATGTAGAACCTGATATTATAGAACTGTTAGAATTTGCATATAAAAGTAATTATTTTGAATTGGAAGGAAAATATTATACACAAGAGAATGGTATTAGTATGGGGTCAGTCATTGGACCAAAACTCGCAGAAATTATAATGACCGAAATAGACGAAAGAATTAGAAATATACACGGTATGAAATATTATAAAAGATATGTCGATGATGTTTTAATTATATACAACAATACAGAAATTAATATCAAGGAAATAAAAGAAATAATAAATAACATAGACACAAAAATACAATTTACAATAGAAGAAGAAAATGATGTTCATAACAATATACGTTACCTTGATGTTGTAATTACTAGGAAAGATAACAAGCTAGAAGTTGAACCTTATAAAAAACCGTGTTCAATTGAAACTACAATAAGATACAATTCTAATATACCTATGTATATTAAAAAGAATGTTTTTCATATGGAGTATAAGAAAATAAAAAATAGAACCAGCAACGAAATCATTAAAAATAAACATATAAATACTTTAAAGAAAAAATTCAATATAAATGGATATCCAATGAGATTAATTAATAAATGGCAAAAAATAATAGATAACACTACCGGAATAAACGATA